ATGTAAACAATTTTCCAAATCTCTGCACGACCTTAAATTGCTGGACAATGTTGTTAAGAGCTAAGAGATGTCTAAGTTCAATTTCCACCTGGATCTAGATTTACACTATTAAGGTAGCTTTCCAGAGTGTCCAGGACTTGTCAAATTCTTAAATACAACTCTTCATTTTACTATAAAGTGTAGTGACTGTGTATTTTGTGTCAAGCAATTTGAGCACAGCGATGCCCTGCAAACAACAATGAAATGAATAGCCAATATAATCTGCAGGATTGTTTGCCAGGACAACAGGTGAAACTCCCTTCTGTTTTTGAATAGTGCCAGGGAATCTTTAACATCCACCCGAATAAAGAGGCAGATGGAACCTAAGTTTTACATCATATCCAAAGGATGGCATCTCTGACATTTTATTTAATTTTGAAACCGGGTATTCTGTAAATTTCCTTTATAATAATAACAATCCTTACATTTGGAAGAGCATCTTTCACATAAGGAGGATTTCCTTATGTGAAGGAAGTCCTCCTTATGTGACCTCCTTGTGGAGTTCTGTAGCTCAGTGGTTAGAGCACTCGCTTTGCAAGCGAGAGACCTGGGTTCGATTCCCAGCAGAATGAAACCTTGGGCAAGTTTCCTTACTCCACATGCCTGATAATAATCCCTCAAAAAAAACAATAATAAATTGGTCACTTCAATCCACGACTGTTTGTGGGACACTGCGGTGTGCAATTGGCTGCCGCATTTCGCCTACAAATATACAGTCAATTCACTTTACAGTCTATTCTGTGAAGCGCTTTGAGATATCTAGAAGACATGAAAAGCGCTATATCAAATGCAAGCATTATTATTATTATTATTCTCAAAGCGCTTCATAGGATTTACTGTAAAGTGTAATGAATGAGTTTTGTTTTGAAAGTCTTAGGAAAAAAATGTCTTCAAAGTCAGAACTGAGTTCAGAAATTGTGCACACTCTGAAATGCTAAGTCACTGCAGTAAATCTAGATCTGGGTGGAATTTGCACCTATTCATTCCTCGGCTGTCCGCTTTTCCTTTTAGATTGAGATATTGTAAGTTGGAAGATAATTGTATTCTCCACGGAGATGCAGCCAGCCATTGCCAATAATATGCAGATGCCATTTTCCTGGAACTCCAATAGACATGAGAGCAGAGAATAAATCAGCTACAATAATTGCCAAATACTGCCAAATCTGTCCTCACTGGAAAAAAGACTAAGGGACCGGGAAACATGATCCAAGGAATCAGATGGTGAGAGCTTTATCCGGGGAGAAAATCTACAAACTTTGACACAAGAAAACACAGCTGTACATTATCTAGTTCAAAATTAGATGTTAATTGTTCATTGTTACCAAGTCAAAGCAAAAAATAATGCAGTTTTAAATAACTCTTTTGGAAAATGATTAGATTCTCAACAAGGTTTCAGATTTGGCCCCGACTCCCATATATGAAGAGGGATTGAAATGGTCAGTTTATATAACGGGCCGAAAGGCCTCCTACTGTGTCATTGATTTCTATGTGCAAAGCACAAATTGAAATGACAAGGCCAGCTGGATAGGATGAATGACTTAATTTCTACCTTCAGGCTTGCTTCTAATGTTGCAGAAAAATGAGTACATTTGCTACTCAAGCCATTGCTTGTAACATACAGTTTACCCTAACTCCTGTGAAGCATTTTGAGAAGTTTAACGCTGTAGTAAGGCACTGCATGCAATGCAAGGCTTATTATTTCCTAAGTTTGAAAGTGGTGCAAAGAAACCAAGTCAAAGGGGTGAGCTGATCATCTATCGGAGGTGTCGGAGGTACCATCTCCTAGATGGGATGTAAAACTGAGGTCCCATCTGCCTGTTCAGGTGGATGTTAAAGATCTGAAGGGAACATCTGATGGAAAACAGAAGGGAGTTTCTCCCAGTGTCCTGGCCAACAATCCCCCAGATAATACAGTCACGTATTTTGAGTAATAATAATCCTTGCATTTGATACAGATCTTTTTCACGTCTTGTCGACGTCTCAAAGCGCTTCACAGAATATACTGTAAAGTGAATTGACTGTATATTTGTGGGCGAGACTCAGCAGCCAATTGCGCACAGCAGTGTCCCACAAACAGTCGTGGATTGAAAATGACCAATTTATTATTGTTTTGTTTTTTTGGAGGGATTATTATTAGGCGTGTGGAGTAAGGAAACTTGCCCAAGGTTTCGCCCTGCCGGGAATTGAACCCAGGTGTCTCGCTTGCAAAGTGAGTGCTCTAACCACTGAACTACAGGACTCCACTTTGAGATGTACAGTAAAATCAAGAGCTGTGAAGGGCTTTGAGATGTCTTAAAGAGATGATGAAACATTATAATCAAATACAAACTTTATTATTATTATTGATCTTACTTGTAGCAAATAGAAAGGTATGACTTAATTGAAATAAATCCACAACTTAATGACTCAGAGGTGAGAAAGCAACTCTGAGGGAAACTAAGCTATTATTTGCCTGAAGCAACCAGAAAATTCAGGCTCAACTGGCAGAGATGATGGTGGGGGGAAGGTTATACTTATCACTGGTACTCATTATGATAATCATTTCCAGTGGTAATTATCACATTACAGGGGACATTTTCCACCTCCTTTCAGAAGTATCCCTACATAATACAATTCATGTAGCATCCTTCAAGTTGGAAGGATGTCTCAAAGAGCTTCACAATCCTGGGTGTGCATTCGAGCTGAGAGTGGGATTCGAGGGGGTGAGAAGAGGAAAGATGACAGAAAGTGCAGTCAAAGAGGTACGTTTTGAGACATGCCTTGAATGTGGGGAGGGAAAGGGAGCGAATTGGAGGGACTCTGGGATGGAAGCATCCACTAAGCACCCACTTAGCATCGGGTATTCTCACTAAGTGGTGGACTGCCCTCATCAAGTGGGAGAAAGGTTCAAGTCAGAACCACTGCTTTCCGTACATTTGATTTGATTGTTTGCCAATACAACGCGAGGCATGAAATCCTTCCTGAAGTGAGCTAACTAATTCTCTCAAGCAATTTTAAGCTCACTTACAGGAGAAAATTGCGAGTAAGACTAAATTCTCCTTTGAGGAATTACTGCGACGACTGTTTCCATCACTACATGTTCTGAACCAGCGGATTAAGTGAAAGTGTCAAAAACTGCAAAAGTGGAGGATTAAACAGTTCAGCGACCTCCTGTCCGTTAAGACACAAGACAGACCTAGCATGGCTTACATCTGGAACTTTGTTGGGACAAGCACGTATAATAAAAGCCTTCAAGATATTGGCTTGTATCCTTTGCTGTTGTGGAATACCAGAAACAGATGTGAGAATATAATGGCGTTCCATTATAACATTAGCAGTTGGGAAAGGGGAAGAGGGGGGAACCATAAAATCCCAGCCAACTTCACTAACGGGACCAATAGCCAGTAAACGCTTCAACCTTTACTGCATATGTGCACAGCAAGTTGACCGGCTTCAAAATGGCTGACTTCAGGATCATCAACCACCAGGGAGCACAGGAAGCATCCTGATAACCATGTTTTGCACAGAGAAACCAGCTGGCGTTTTGCAGACCGACGGTGCGGTTTGAAGCAACCTAGCTGACATTCTTCTCATATTTTGGGATTTGATTGGTCAGCAAATGTCAGGGTCCACACCACAATTAATAATAATAGCAATCCTTGCTTTTGATATAGCTCCATATCGCATCATCGAGATGTCTCAAAGCTCTTTCACAGGATATACTTTGATGTGGTGTGACTGTGTGTATATTTTTGTGGGCAAACATGGCAGCCAATTTGTGTACATCAATGTCCCACAAACAGTCATGGAGTGAATAACCAATTTTATTTGTTGGTTGTTGGTCAAGACACAGAGAGAAATTCCCTTCTCTTTTTGAAAACTTTTTTTGATCTTTAACCTCCACCTGAACAATTGGGCTATAAGTGAACTTGACTTAAAACGACGCACATTATAAGAGGTTACTAATATATTATACTGTGAGCATATTTTTAAAAGTTCCATCAACTGGAGTCCACAGTGGCTCAATGAGTAAGTGCACCCAACACATCATGCTGTCCTGAGTCGCCTAGAACAAGGTGGTCTCCGTTCGGTACTAATTTTATTAAGCAGAGAGGAGAGAGACTACAGGAAGGAAGAGGAGAGTGGGAGAAGAGGAGAGAAAGGAGAAGAAAAAAAGTTCCCAACAGAAAGACAAAATATATTTCCTAACTCAAAGAGAAAATTTCCTGATTCAAAGGCAGAAGAAACATTTTTTAAATCTTCACAAGAAATCTGGGAAGGGTTTATGAAGTTACCAGGAGAGATTTAGAAGACCTCTTCTGGATATGCGCACAATTATTAAATTAAAACAAATCAGTCCAGTTTAGACTAAAAATAGTTCAGAGAATAGACCAGGTATGGCATTTATAACCTCTCGCTTCACTCTGAGCACTGTTTCCTCATCTGCATCCTGAATAGAAATAACATTCAGAATAATCTGTGACCCTCTAGGTTTGTAAATGTATCTATTTAGCATTTTGGTTTTATTTCGTTTTTTTTGTTAACGAGTATAAAGCAGCAAACACATCGGAGCCCTGTGGTGTAGTGGTTAGTGAGCTCGCCTTACAAACGAGAGAATCCGGGTTCAATGCCCAGGCAGAGCAAAACCTTAGGCAAGTTTCCTTACTCCACATGTCTCTTTACCGAGCAGTAAGTAGGAATCTGTTTTTAGTCAATTGGCGGATCGCTTTCCGGGGTTAATAATTTTGTTGTTGTTGTTGTTAATAATCCCTACCAAAAAATATGTGCTTATTCAATCCACAACCTGTTTGTGGGACACTGGGATAATAACAAATCATTTTAAATAAATGCATTTTAAAAAAGCAATAATGTAAATCCAACTTTCATCTAGATTTTAGCACAGAAAAGTTCAATTTCATTATAATTTCTGATTCATCATCTTAATAACATGTTCTACCCCTTACATTTCCCCAGTACAGTACCTTGGGTCCTGGTAGTCCTCTTGAACCAGGTACACCTGTTGGTCCCATTTCACCCTAAGTTCAGAAAGAAAAGATTGATACAATGGTTATTGGGGTGAAGTTATATAAGATCAGAAATTGTGATTTGTGTGCATCCAATTCATCTGTTTATTTATCCAGGTATCTAAAATATCATTGATCTGAGAGTGCCATCATGCAGGTGAGACAATCATGTTCCTGAGTGGTCATTAAAAGGATTCAAATGTCTCCATGTTTCCTGCTAAATTGGATCCAAAGAGAACTATCTGCGAAGTTCTGAATATTGTTACTAAAATCGTGCCAAAATTTTATATGACAAACGTGATCTTAAATCCAACATGGCCTTATTCAGCCTTTTGATACACATTTAATGCATTAGGCATTTAGTAATTATACATTTTTTATAGAGAAATACCTGAAACTAGACTCTTAAAAGAGACAATCCACCTACCTCCATAACATTTGAAGCAACGTAACATCAAGTTTTATACAGTGCAATGCAATGTACATTTATACAGCACCTTTCAAATTGGGATGACTTCTCATATAAATATAATATATTTGTAAAGATCAATGAATAAACTTGCACACAAAAGTATAGATGTTTATCAAACCTATAATTGTGTAGCATCGGATATTTCATTGTCAAAAGGCCAAAGGACATCTTGGAAAATATCCTCTCTTAATACTTATTGGAATTAGGTTTTTGCTCCCATTGTCAATGAAGCGCTCCAGGTCTCTATCTCATGTGAAGGGTGCTATACAAATGCAAGTTGTTGTTGTTGCAGTTGAATGGAAGGCAAATTGCAGTCTATGTTACTCAGACAGAAATCTTGCTGATTGAAATCTTGCTCATCATTTTGCTGAGTATACCATACAAGGAATTGATTTAGCTAAAAAGCTATTTCTTTGAATTTCACTATATTGAATTACGATTCCAATAAAGAAAACCAGCATTTTGATGTTTTGCATACTTCTGTACTTCCTAGTATTTGTGGCGATGCACAGTGCACCTCTGAAGATAACATCACTAATGATTCTTTCTCATAGTTCACACAAAGTAAAAGCACAACTTTCATACAGCAAGTCAGCAGTTACTCAATGTTTAATGGTCTGAAATTTATTTTCAGGGATTAAAACGAAAGATATCGCAAGATCAAAGCGATCTTTGAATGCAGAAGGCTTTTCATTCCTCCTCTGATCTCATGCTCCCAGAATGTGAAATCTACTGTCTTCCTATTACAGCATCAATCAGTTTCTTAAACGAGCCCAGTGTTTTTTCCTTAACCATCCTTTCTTATAAACTGTTGGTCATGCCGATTACCATCTAGGAAATAACTATTCCACGTTACCTGTCTTCACAGCCCTGGACCCGTGCCCATGTATCCTACTGCATTGGCACGCAGGAAGGTATTCCTCCAGGGTTAATTTTTCTATTGCATAATGTATCTTACATGGCTCCCTCTGAGACTCTATTCTAGCTTATCTAGTTCTGCTCCAAGTTCACTGGATGGGGACCAAGTACTAGAATTCAGTCTGTGTTTCCCCTGCATAGCCCGCAGCATTGATACCAACTCCAGTGCTCCATACCACGATTAACTCGGCCCAGGTTTTTCCCAGTCTGCACAGCTCAGTTGCTCACAGTGTAAAGTCACTGAGCCATCGAGAAAGCTTATGTAAACCATTTTTAAAGCACAAATGCATTGAAAAGAAGAGCAGCACTTCAATCTCTTTCCAAAGGGGAAGAGATGTAATAATTGTGACATTTTCATAATATTATAGATAGGCAAATATACACAGAATTAACTGCACTAAACTTGATCTGAGGCGCATAGTGTGTCTATTGTAGAAAGGCTGAATCATACTTTGACATTTCCTGCCATTTAACAACCATCCCTTTAGACAATCACATCATGAACCATCACAGAAAACATTCAAAAGTTAATGATCCCAATAATCTTTTGACTCCACAGTTTAAATGTCAGCTTTTAGCATTCTCTTAAACACAAGTTATTAAAAACAGTGGGAAACAAGAGTTTTCAGTGTGTAACATTGCCCTTTTCTGTACAGTTTAGGTCACTGTACATTATATATTTGGGGTAAATTAATCACCACTGAGTTACAGCCTTGGTGTGAAACTCAAGACATTTATGAATATCACATGAACTTGAACTTGTATAATGCCTTTCATGTCAGATGAATGTCTCAAAGTTCTTCTCGAATGCCATCAATAAACTATTTGCTATTTTCAAAATGACCTAAAGTCCAACATTCCACCTAAGCTTAGCCTGGAAAGACCACTTTGTCTAAATATGTAAGATCCCGCATAATTGTGCAAAATTCTTAAAAAATCTTAGTTTCGCTGCCAAAGGCAGGAGATGAATACAATGAGAGGGAAAAGAGAGATACTGTTCATCACAAGGTGATCCGAGGGAGGAAGATGCAACACAGACATGAGAATGAAAGTAAGCAGCAGCACCTTATTTGGGTTCACCTTATTTGAAAGAGTCGGAGGTAAACAAAAAAAGTCAGAAAATACTTCTTTGTTAAAATTGGACACAAGATTTATGGTCTTTAAAGTTAGCAAAAAAACCTTTAGAGTTGTCAAAAAGGGACGTAAACCTATGCTATGAATTGTAACCAACGTGACATATCAAGGGCTTTTCCATGATGCCTCAGTGATTATCTATTGTTCACAATATTGTATTCATGAATTATACAGGTGGAGGGACTTCTTGTTATATTTTAGCATTTTGGATAGAGAGCCAATTTAGTAATAATAATCCTTACATTTGGTATAGTGCCTTATCACATTGGAAGGGCATCTCAAAACGCTCCACAGGATTTACTGTGAAATGAAGTGACTATGTATTTGTAGGCAAACACAGCAACAAATTTGCACACAGCAATGTCCCACAAAGAGTCATAAAGTGAATGACCAACTCTATTGGGGGATTGTTGGCCAGGACACCGGGAGAAACTCCCTTCTCTTTTTGGCAAATGCCATGGGATCTTTAACATCCAACTGAATAGGCAGAAGAAGCCTCGGTTTAACGTCTCATCCAAAGGACAGCAACTTCCACAATGCAACCCCCACCCCAGCACTGCATTAGAGTGTTAGCGTAGTGATTCCAAGTCCCAATCTGGGACTTGAACCCACAACCTCTGACTCAGAGGCAAAAGTGGAATCAATAAACCAGGCTGACATTACATTATCAGGTGAAGTGGCCATCTGACACCCACAAGTGAGTGTGATAAGGTTCAAAGAACTTGGAAGTAAATGAACAGTTTACAGAAAGAATAACTGAACTATCTGACTGTAGGATACTGCCTAAGTTCAATCTGTATCATATTTTTGGCTGCACCCTCCAGAGTCAAGAACAGTAAAGCAATGGAGAAATTCTCTGGTGCAACCAAAGAAATTGACAGCACAGAAGACATCCATTTGGACCTTTGTGTCTGTGCCAGGTCTTTGAAAGAGCAATCAATTTCAGTCCCATTTACTTGCCTTATCCCCATTGTGCCATGCCAGATGAAATTATTCCCCTCCCCCCAATCCAAACAGACTGACATCTGCAAACAAATTTACTATTGTTATATTTTTTAATCTAACACTCTTCAGTTCCATCTCTATCAAGATGGTTGTTTCAGAACTGTTATGGACAAGATTTTAATAATTTAAATTGAAAAGGCAGGAGGGCGTTCCTCAAATTTAACCAGTCTATAAGATCAGATGAAAACTCGATGTTTCATTGAAGATTTCTCGCTGCCTATCCAGCTAGGATCATCCTACCCAATAGAGCTTCAGTTTCAGGGTTAACAGGAATTGAGAAGGAAGACTCCTTGCCCCCAGTGACTTGTCTGCCCCTTCAAGTCCTACCAGTGAACCAGAATGGTTGACTGTCATCAGCATTGAAGATTTGATAGCACAGTCCATAATTATAATACAACACAAATTTTACATTTGTATAGCGTATTTCACGTCAGGAAGACAACCCAAGATGTTTAATCAGATTGTGTAATGAAACATGGCAGTTTAACTGATCACGAACTGAGACATTTGCAGAGATTTTAATCAATCATTCATGTCAGAGAATTGCAAATGTCTATCCTGATTGGTAAAATACATTGCAAAACAATTATAAAAGTGCAATATAGCTAACTATTCTCCTGGGGGTAATATTGGACTATCAGAGGTAGCATCTTCTGTATGAAATGTCATACCGAGGTTCTGTCTGGCTGTTCTGGTGGACATTAAAAATCTCTTGATGTTATTTGAAAAGACGAGGGAGTTTCTCCTTCATGGCCAACAATCCTCCAGATAAATTTATCATTCACATTTTGGCTATTTGTAGGACCACCAATGTGCAACTTGGCTGCCAAAGTTGCTTTTACACCACACAATCAATACTCTTGACAGCAATATCTGTGAAGTGCTTTGAGATGTTTCAATGTTAATAATCCTCATATTTAGTAAAGCTCCTTTCATAGCAGGAAGACATCCCAAAGCACTGCACAGGATATGCTGCAAAGTGGAGTGACTCTTTTGTGGACAAGCACGATTGCCAATTTGTCCAGAGCCAAGTCTGACACTCTGGTGCAATGCTGGAGGAGCCTGGCATTGTTAGAGATGCCATCTTTCAGATGAGAAATAATGTTATAGACACAATACGAAATGCAAGGATTCTTATTATCTTGCAGATGAGACACGTTAAACCGAAGTCCCATCTGCCTGTTCAGGTGAACGTTAAAAATCCCATGGCACTATTCGAAAAGAGAAGGGAGTTTCTAATAAATTTGGTCATTCGTTTCATGGCTGTTTGTGGGACATTCTTATGAGCAATTGTGCTGCCGTGTTTGCCTACACATACAGTAATACAGTAAAATCCTGTGAACTACTTTGAAATGTTTCAACAAAGTAATAAAGTATTAAATACAAGGCTTATTATTATTGTTATTATATTTAACACCCACAGACAATACTCAAGGGTAGGCACCCTTTCCTCGCTGTCGCATGTTTTATGATTTCAGTCATGATTTTATAATTGGAAACATGCGGTTATTTCAAATTAACTCAGTGGGCAAAATAGCTGTTCATTTCATACTCTGCTTAGCTGTGTTGTTGGATCACTTTAGTACTAGTTTTTGACATGCTTCCAATATTTTTTTCAAACACCTGCACCTAGTTTGTGCTTTGCATTTAGGTTTATTTTTCAGTATAATTAGATCACATAAAACATTTCATATGGAAATATTTTTATAGCTTTTTGTCAGAAAGTCAAGTATGGTAAGTAATCCTAGTAAAACTAAAGTTGCACAATATGCGATATGTGAATAAAATGACACATTTTGGGTTAGCAAATTCCGATTTTTAGATTACTCTAAATAACAATTTGCTGTCAATTCTGTTCACCCAGCAGTAAGTGGGAACCCGGTTGTTAGTCAATTGGTAGATTGCTTTTCTGGGTGTTAATCCCTTCAGAATTTTTTTTACAATAATAATGTGGTCACTCAATTCACACGACTATTTATGGGACACTGCTGTGCACAATTGGCCTCTGCATTTCGCCCACAAAATATACCGTCAATTCAATTTCCAGTATATTCTGTGAAGTGCTTTGAGACGTCTCGAAGACATGATAAGGCGCTATATCAAATGCAAGGATTATTATTATTACTATAATTCATTTTTTTGAACAAAGGCACTCCAGGATGCTATCCTGTGTGAACGGTGCTGTTGTTTTACCAATGATATGTCTATGCTTTCTGTTGTAGACTTTAACTTGAAGAGAACTCACCGGTTTTCCAGAACTGCCCTTATCTCCTTTATCACCAGGGGATCCAAATTTACCCTGCAGGGAAATACGTGCAAAGTCACAGTTTGTAAAATATTTCAGGAACATCAATTACAGTTTAACTCATGCAGCAATTGCCTTGATAAAGACATTAAAGAGGCCTGAAACACTGAAAACTTTTTCCACTCTAGTTTCACTGCTGGCAATGACCCTTTTAGTGTTTCCTCTCCTGCATGAAGTGTGCTATATAAACTGATCAACTTTTAAAGTTGAGTTACGCTCCATGCTCCAGAAACTGACACATGCCACTGACAGTGAAATGCCATAATCTTCAAGCTGCTGAGAAATAACTATTGAAGCTAATCAATGACTACAGCAGCTGATCAATAGAAGTACTAGGTGGCTTCGGACACAAACATTTTGACAAAGATAGGGAGGGTTGTGTTCACCCGAGATCAGAAAATAACTGAAAAAAAAATGGGGAGGTAGGGTGAAAAGAAGATTTTTGAAAATATAAGGTGACGAGCTGCAATTAACACATCACGTGTCTCATTTTTCCCTTGAAAATTGCACTCAGCCTTAGCCTTTGGGACGGACAATTTTGTCTTGAAAAAAAATTGCGAGATGGAATCATGAAAAATCTTAAAATCAGTCTTAATTTGGAAGGTGTTTTCTACAGTGCTTAACAAAAAGAACTGACTGCCAAATTAAAGCTGAGTTTAGTTTATTTTCCCATTTCTGCGTAATCTTAAATTATTTGACAAAATTGATGTTCAGCTACCCATGCTCAAGAAACCTATTTTGCAATGCACCATTATCAATCTATCTGCTTTCAAACAATTTTGCATTAGTTATTGTAATATATCAAGTCATACACACCATTTGTCCTGTTGGTCCCATAGGTCCTAGCATTCCAGGCCTCCCCTGCAAAGTGGCACAAAATAGTTAGCACGACAACAACAAAGTACATTTGTACAGCATCTTTCATATTGGGACGATGTCCCAAAATGATGGACAGTCAAGGATTTGCCCCTACACTGGATGTGTGTGAATGTTGGGTGAGGATATTATTAGGCTTGACTGTGATAATCTCCATGGCAAATAGTCTTGCTCACAATCAGACAGAAATCAGCTTGAACAATGTACAGTATCTGCTCTCTTCTCCTGAATTGTCCCTGTGGAACAATTGATGTGAATCAAACATCTTCAGGAGATGAGAGCAGGAAAGGACAATTGGAAAAAAAATGCAAACATTTTGATGTTGACAAGCTCAGTTAGTAGCCTGCGAGTCAAGAGGTTGTCGGTTGCATTTGAGATGAGAGAGAGTTAAAAGTAAATGCAGAGATGATAATCTTATAGGGCAATAAACCAGGTACAGTAAACATGGGTTTTGTCTTCCACCAATATATCAGAGGCCCATAAGAAGCAAGGAATTCCTCAGATTGTTATTTTATGGAAAGTTTATCGTTGTTTTTTGGCCAATTTCCCTGATGAAAGAAAACCGTCTTAATTATCATAAAGGAACTTTATTAGTGGGTTCCATATGGTGCATGGGGTCAAATTTTATTATGCAAGTTTCTCAACCCCAAATCTTTGCTTTGTGTAGAATTTTGTTTCCTCTGTGCAAAAGGTGAGCATGGGAAAAAAGTTTATGTCCTTATTTATCACACAAGAGATGTTCGGATGACTAAGGAAGGTCCTTTGGTCCTTATGATTTCACCCTTCCAAAACATCCACCCCCATCGTCTTTCCATTACAGCATCAAGGCGTTTTTTTTAATCAGTCCAGCTATTTGGCCTCAACCACTACTGTCAACCTTTAAAATGGTTCCAGTCATTAATAATAATAATAATAATAATTACCCTCTGGCTAAATAAATATATCCTGCCGGCTGTCCTAAAATTATGCTCTTTATTGTGGTTACATTCTCATCTTCAGTGGGTTGCTCTGACAGCACAAACCAGGCTTTCCCACTGATAACCTTGCAATATAAAATTTGCTAGTGAAAATTTGCTACTAGATCCCATACACTGTGGCAAAGGTCCCATGACTTTGCCCATGTCACTGCAACTGATTTATCCAACTTGTTAAATAATACAGCCACGTACAGTATGGATACGTGCTTGACCCTTGTTAAGATTACAAATTTACTACAGGAGGTTGTTGAAAGGATGAACCCAATTACTCTCTTTGGGGTGAAAAATGCAATGTTTCTTAGCATGTTTGTTTAATCACCATTTGTGGGATGCACACATAGTAAGGTGATTACAAACATGTCATCAATGGGAAGTCACCAAGTAGAAACCAGACATGTCTTCACTAGGATTGCTGTATCTTACAACTTAAAGAGTTCCCTGGCAAGTTTCCCATTGTTACCAATTGGGGCATTTTCTTGAAAGGTTAACTGAAGCTGAGGGTAAAGAATCCTTGCCCCCAATGACTGGTCTGCCCCTTCAAGTCCTGCTGATCAGCCAGGCTGGCTGGTCTGTCATCAGCAATGCCCTGGAGTACTGCTGACCTGCCTGTCTCAGGATCCGGACTATAAAGTCCGCACATACGATCGATTTGATTCTGATATTCCATTGCCAAGCACATCACATTGAAGTTAGCTCAACCTGAGCAAGACCCCACTTACCATCCTCCTCCAAATGGCTTTGTCATTTCACTTTGTCCAGTGCTGGGAAGACACTGGACAGCAGAGGAACGGGAATAACAATAATAACATTCCAAAATCCATTGGAGTCTGCGTACTATGACACAGTTAAAACTTCTCCGAACAGTTATGAATAATTGGTTACAGCACAGCTGCAACGTTGAACACGACACTGATAAATTGCACAAAACTCCAAAGTAAATGGAAAGGTAACACTTCTTAAATCTGATCATAGTTTCAAGAAACTAGAGAGTTCAGTGCAAGATGATCTGGCAACATCCCAGTTCTGAGGTAAGGCCCCCAAATCATATGGAGTAAGTAAGTCTGAAGAAGGTCACAGATGAAGGAGAGGGAGCTGGAAATAGGTCCCGATTGTATTATTTATACTGGAGTTTCTTACTTTAATTTGGAGATGCAACAGCTGATCGATGTAACAAGCCACAGGGTAGCTCTGAATTCTCTCTAATAAAGTCAATCTAAGGCAGCTGTAAATGTTTAATATCACAGTTAAGATGCAATGCTTGTCCTGGAAAGAAGGTTTGACTACTTTATGAAATAATACTCAGGCTATACAAACTCTGGTCAGATTGCACATTGAGTACTGCATACAAATTCTGGTCACTGTGATGTAAGGGGGCTACCCAGGCTCTATAGAGGCAGTGCAGAAGACAGTAACATGGTAGGGAGGGGCAAGAATGTAGAGGGATTTAAAAATGAGGTTGAGGATCTTGAACTCGATCCTCTGGGGGATGGAGAGGCAGTGGAGCCAGGTGAGGATGGGGGTGATAGACTTGTGGAGTCCAGTGTGATACCCCATAATAGGATACAGAGGAAAAAGCAGGAAATTGCAAATAGACAAGATATCTCTAGCAGAAGAACTAGTACCAGCATAGGTTTGGTATTTCTTGTTACAGACTATAATGGCTGTGTTTCGGGTGTGTTTCCTCTCATGATATGAGTCGTTTTTGTTTCAAAGGAAATATCAGATTTGTTTTTTGTTCTGTGCTCATGTTGGCCTCTAACTATCAAACGAGTTGCTGGCAAAGCCTTGAATGCTGTAATTACAATACAATACAAAATTACATTTGGAAAGTGTCTTTCACGTTGGGAGGATCATGGATTAGGACCCGAGGGTGCGGGGTTGGGATCAGGGTGGATGGGAGTGGAGAGGGTGGGGATAGGAGGGTGGCCAACGGCACGGTCAAAGAGGTGGTGAGACATGCCGTGAAGGAGGTAAGAGAGGGAGTGAGGCAAAGGGAATGTGGGATAGAATTCCAGAGGGTAGGGGCAGAGAGGCTGAAGGCCCGAACACCAACGGTGGGGTGGGCCGGGCAGGGGACATTTTAAAATAGCTTCAGTAAAAACAGGGAAATAATTGTTTTGTAAGGCATAAATATCCCCAGGCTACATCTCTGCACAAACACACAGTGTAACATTAATGCTGGCAATGGAAAAATAGTTCAGGCACTAGTGGGCGAAAGCTCACATTTGATTTCCGCAACTCATGAAAACTCTCCTTTTCCTCAAATCGTTTCAGTGCAGATGTGCCAAGTTGAAACTGTGCTCCACATGTGTCAGTGTGTGTGTGAAATAGTAAGCATATTGGCTGTTAGGCAATGGAGTGTTCGGATACATTGGGAGATCCAAGCAATTGCCACTGAAGTGCTAACTCATACTTTCCAAGTGATACAATGGTGTTCCAAGTTACATACTGTCAGCCCATTCCACCATTTGATTACATCCAAGATGCAAACTAACAGCCAGAAATTACTTGCTCTTTCATGGTACCTCATCACAATGAAAAAAGACTTTAATTCATCTCCCACCCAACCCCCCAACTCCCTCAGCTCCCACTCCCAGATTTAGAGTCAAGGCGGCCGCTGCCAAGTGGCTTGGGACGTCCTCCCAAAAGGTGCTAGGTAATTATGTTGTTGTAATAATAATCCTTGCATTTGATATCATGCCTTTTATGTCTAGAGGACTTCAAAGGGGTAAAAGGGCTTCACAGGATTCGCTGTTAAGTGTAGTGACTGTCCAGTTTTATAGGCAATACTCGGAGGTAATTTTGTGCATAGTAATGTGCTAACAACAACATCAACTTTCATGTGTGGCATCTTGGAGGGCTAAACAGTGGTAGAACACTTGAAGCTGAACCAGGGAGAGAGGTGAAGTGACTGTAGGCATAGATGAAGAAGAAAATATTTGGGTGTGATCTCAAGACAGACAAGGAGGGGGGGCAAGGTGAAGGGTTTGAGGCAGAGAGTGCCAGAGTCTTGAAATACAGTGAAATCATGGCTGCTGTTGGTGAAATGCATGGGATGAGGGACAAGCAGAAGGCCAGAGCCAACTGAGGGGGGATGGGAAGATGACTTAAGGTCTTTATTCATCGTGATGAGGTACCGTG